AGGGAGGGGCGAGAACAATATCCGAGGACTTTGTCAGTTCTTGGTCTTGTTTTTGGAACAGTAGTAGGGCTGAGGCTGATGACGTTTCACGAACGCACAAGTACACATAGTGAGAAATGGCCATCTGTTTTTATCGTCCTTGTTGCACTGACAGATTTCCTTTCCTCTCTCCGTAGTTCCACTCCCATCAGATTTTCCACGTTCTGGTCGTGGCAGCGGCCTTCATTCATTTCTACGGCGTCTCCAACCTGCAGGAGTTCCGCTACGGCCTCGAAGGAGGATGCACAGATGACTCTCTGCTCTGAAAGCCCCAACTGTGACTCACTTTACTTTAAAGCCACACCCACATAAACACACACACACACATGCAAAATGCTGCTGGACATCAGTATAGTCTCTTCTTGCTCCTTCTGTCCTTCTGGGTTGCTTACTTCTTTGGGTTTTAGTGGTCTTTCTGCTTTGGCTCTTTTTGCTCCAGTAAAGTAGCACTTACTAGCCAATGTTCTGTGGAGGGAACAGAAATTACGTTTTTACTCTGACAACCATCAGATAAGTGTTAAAGATAGTGTTTTGAACTAGGGTTAAAGTGGGATTTTTTTCCAAGTCTGATAGATAACCTCTTCATAAACACTCTCTGTTACCCTGAACCTCGCCATGGTCTGTTACAGTTGCACAAAAAGGGTTCAGAGGGTGATGTTATTCATGCTAGAGGAGACGGCACAAAGTGCAAGTCGTTCCCCTTCACCTGTGGAGGACGGTTGGAGGGTCTGCAGCGGCGTGGAGGCTGGAGGGAACAGATGCCATCCTGTAAGGAGTACAAACCTGGAGGGTTGTCACCAGATGTATTGAAATCAACCATGTTTGGCTTCTCAGCAATAAATGAAAAAAAAAAAAACAGTTAAACCCCTAAATTCCCACTCAGTAGAAAACTCCAGTGTTTTTATATTGTTTCTTGTATGCACTCCAGATAAGTCTATTCCGAGTCGAGACGATTAATGTGCACAGGTTTTATTTAAGAATCCGATCAATTCATTATTTCTGATCAAATCTTTGCTAAAATTAATCTAAAACAGAAAGTTCTGGATGTTTGACAAACATCCAAACCTGATTATTTAGTAACTGTTCAATGCAACAGAGAAGATGCTGTGTAAGAAAAGAAAGCAAAACGATGAGCGAAGCTAATTAAGGTCGGATGAGGTTGAAGCCTACATGCCATCGCCGATCAATTAGGAAGAAACTCCTGAGCTGAGACCAACGTACGGATCTGAATCGGCCATCAAACAATCCCAGCCAGCTGGAGATCTTTTGTTTTCTGCTTTATTTCAGACGTCAAGGGTATTTATTTAGCGCACCTTAATTTAGCGGATTAAATTCAAGGCAGTAAAGCGTTCAAACTGAGGTTTAATAATTCTTTCTGGATGATCGATAGAAACTTTGCGTATTCCTGTGCCTTAGGCCAACGGAAATGTTTTTAAAAGAAACGGCCCATCTCAAAAGTCAAAGGAGCATCCAGGATGTGGGGTTTTCTCGTTTTCTCGCCATGTACACAATCAAATCATTAATAAAGTTGCGGTTCCATTCATAGGTTGTACACAATGCTGTTAAAGATTCCTTTTTCTAGATGATCTTATCCAGGCTTTATTACTAAACATGAGTATCCCTGACTTTGTGTAATGTTCTGTGTAGAAAGTGATAAATCATACATTTCTTTGAAATGTAAATCTAAATATTTATTAATGGTAATATTGGAAAATTATTTAATAAATTCTTTTCCACATGTAAGGTAATGCTGTGTTTTTGTTCTTGCTCTACATTTAGACACACAAACATTGATATATTCAGCATCTAGTAAAGAGTCAGTTCAGGTGTTTTATGAAATATGTGAATCAGGAAATTGTCTATATACCAAACTGAATGATTGTTGTTCTCTACTTAAAAAAACACACATTGGATTTTAATGGAAAAAAATTTACCGTTTTATTTAGAAATTCAATGTATAAAATGAATGCATAAACACCTGATTTTATTTTACTTTTAAATTTTGTTTAAATTAACAGATTATGATAAAAAAAAAAAATGTCTCCAGACCAGCTGCTGTAAAGCGGCACTTTGCGTCACATCAATCATTCTGTCACAGATCCGACCCTCCAGTTTAGTTTGTACCGGTTTTTTCTTGTAAGTAAACTGTGAAAATCACCTTTAAATCAGACATAATGGCTTAATTCAGATTGAAATTCAAATTGAAAGAATAAAAAAGGTGGACATAAAAAAAAAACAGGCAGGGGTAAAAATATATAAGCAATGGTCTATAAGCACTACAGACCAACCAGCCACTCTCTTCCCCATTTCCATATAAAGTTTTCTAAACTGGGGTAAATATAAATGTTTTTTAGGAGTTAATTTAAATGCATTTTAGCATTTTTTTTTATTTATTATATCAATTTCTCCAATGTTTTGTTTACTCTGGATCTTTTGCACAGTTATTAGGCGATGTACAACGTGTTTTATCTAGAAAGAAATACAAATATGTGCTATCGCTGCGAAGATATCAAATGCACTCAAGTTTAAAACATTTGTTAACATTAGACTTGAAATGTGGAGTCAGTTCGTTAGGTTTTAGTGTTTTTCTGTTTGTAAGCCCAAAATGTTATGAAAGTTCAGAGGAAACTATACAATGTTTCATACAGATACCTTTTAATCTAATTTTAAAAATCAGTTGCAGTTTTCCTTTTGTATGAAATTGAGGTCATTTTTTTTCAATGAACTAAACCAGGGGTCTTTAAAGTTTTCCAGACCAAGGGACCCCCAAACTGATGGCGAGATGGAGCGGGGATATATATATTATATAAAATTGTGATATATCTAACTGGTCCTATAGTCACTCTATTACAGATGGAGTTATGTAACCAAAGTCATTTCTCCCTGGAATTATTAAAGTATTTCTGATTCTGATTCCTAGTTGATGGGACAGGTGTTGTGAATGAAACGGTGCCCAACCTGAAAGAGCTCCTGTATGTTGCTGAATGTGTGCATTGATGACTGAAAGACATCTTCTGCCTCCATTTATCTGTTTACTACAGTGCGTTGAATTCAGGTTAATGTGGATTTAAAGACATTTCAATTAGTGGAAAAAACTGCAGGGAAAAAAAAAATAAGTAAATAAAAGTCTAATCAACCAAAACTTACGCGACCCCCATCCAATATGTCTGTGGACCTCCTAGGGGCCGCTTACCCCCTGTTGAAAACCTCTGAACCAAAGGGTTTAATATGAAGGGAGTGGAATCTGGAAGGATTAACAGGAACAACACAAGATAGAAGAAAATACAGAAAGCTGTTTAAAAGTATCTTTAGAATATAAGGTTATAAAATAATATTTTAAATATTTAGGTGGGTGTGGGTGGATGGATGGATAGATAGATAGATAGATAGATAGATAGATAGAT